TGCGGGCGTACCAGTGTAAGCGTCTCTCTCTCTCTCTCTCTCTCTCTCTCCATAGAGTGATTAGGAAGAATCTCTCTTTCTTAACAGAGTGGTAAGAAGAATTTCTCTCTTAAGAGAGCTCTCTCCCTCCCCTTTAACAGGGCAGGAAGTATCTCCATCTCTTAACAGATTGAGCAGTTCTCTCTCTCTTGACAGAGCAAATAGGAAGAATCTCCCCTCTCTTTAACATAACAGAGTTAGTAGGAAGAATCTCCCTCCAACCCCCAAACAAAAAAGGTGCAAATAAGGACAGATTCTTTCATTTTATATATTCTTTCATTATGTGTCCCTATACCTTATCTGTGATTTTAGGATTTGGCATATGTGTGGGGATTTGTTTCTTTTCTGATATCATGCTTGAGGTGTGGAATATTATTGGGTTCTCTCGAGAAATTTGGAAAGAAAAAAAAAACAGAGGGGTTGAGTGGTTTCTCTAGAGGACTGGCTTGAATTACTAGCTACATTTGAAGGCCGTTGGGCTCAAGGAAGATTATCTTTGGAATTTAACCAACTGTCACCTCTTTCGAATAAATGACTGGTTTCACTGATGAAAAGGGAAAAGACATAGAACAAATAGGAAAAAGGCGTAAAATGATGAAGTAGTTAGGTGATATAGCTTTGTTTGTGGCAATTCTGCAACCCGTTGATGAAACATTCCACCTCTTATGGTGTTTTTCCTCATCTTCCTATTTTTAGTAGTGAATCGTTGTATCTTAGTTCAGTTGAAAGGAATTCTCTAGAAACCAAACCATTTCTATCCAGGAATTGTGCTCATGAAAATTTGGGTTCGGTTCATCAGAGTTGATAATACTTGTTTTGATTTTAATATGGTGGAATTTTTCAGGTAAGAGTGAGGGACTCATGTTATTCATGACAATCATAAAATATTTGCTTTTTGTCGTGGAGCACTGTGGTGTCTAATGCAGTTTATCTTCATTGAATAAACTGTCTGGTTCACCACTTATTACAATTCATGCATTTTTTTTCTCTTCGATTAGTGGACTCCTAACAAATTTTTAGAGCTTTATGCTGGCCATTTGGCTGCTCATTTTATTAATGGTGATTATTAGGTTGACTTATGTCTTTGAGGCATCATTTAATGATTCATTGTTTCTCTTTTGTAGAATAAGAATGGAGATATGGATGATGAGATGGATGATTTGATTAACAAGTATGGTGAGGTAGTCTACCGAAGTAAAGACCAGAAGCCTCATGCTGCTGAAGTCGATGATGATGCCGAGAGCTTGTCACGTAAACTGAATCATTTTGTCATTATCCTTTTGATTATGGTTTCTTAGAATATCGAAAGGATTGCCTTTTTTTTTTGCTGATATTGTGATTGGATGAACAAAGAGTGGCCCCAAAATGATCCCCCTTTTTTTTTTTGTCATGCCTTCTTTTTGTAATATTTCTTCTTTTGTAGATGAACATAGTACGCTGGGAGGGAAATCCATGTCGACATTTTTTCTGTTTTGACTCAAGTTTTCCGGTGGCCACTTCCCAAATTTTTTTTTTTTTTTACTGTTAGCCCTTTCATCAAAAAAAAATGCAATTTACTAGTAACTCTTCATGTACAAAATTAAATTTTCAAGTGTACTAATTTGATATCCACACCCTAATCCTCCGGTATAACAACTGTTAATGCTGATCTAACAATTCCTTCTCGTGCAAGTGAGTCTGCTACTTCATTACATTGCCTCCATGAATCCAAAAATGTTAATTGTAACCTATTTACTTAATCAAAAACTTCTTTCATAATCACCATAGGCACATTTCCAATTTATTGGCACATGCAATAGCCTTTCACGAGTCTCCTTCTATGACAATTGTCTCAATTATTCATTTTGAAAATGTATGGGTGGGTGTTGTAGATGTTGTTCGCAGTCTTTTTAAAATGACAATTTTTTTCCCCCTTACTAACTGCGGACAATAAATCCTTTTAAAACTTATTTGTTATGAAATAAGAGCAAAACAATCACCCCACCATTTTATAACATCAGAGAAGCATCCTCATGTTTTACATTTTCTTGTGTCATTTCCATGATGATCAGGAGACGTGTCACGATCTTGGAGATTAGATTGATTGTTTTGAGTCTTTTGACAAAATGAGATCTACTACTCTTCGCTCTAAGGAGGATATTCTGATTTCATGAGGAAATTGAGGTTTTTCTGCCACTCAAAAAGTACCGAGTGTGTCATTTAATATTCTTCCTCAACACAGTATGTTATGATATAAACACATTACATTATATTATACTGTATATAAAAACAGTATATTTGGAGGGACACAGTATATTCTGAGGGAATCCCATGCCACTTTTTCTTCTTCTGTTTTGATGAAGTATCAATATTTTTTTTGAAAGTGTTAACTTTTATATATTGAGTAAAGAGTACAAAGGAGAGAGAGAGAGAGAGAGAGAGAGAGAAGCTATCCACAGGCGGATAGCAGAAGTACAAGGAGGGAGAGAGATAGAGAAGAGAAAAGCGGAATACAAAGGCCTTCTTTTTGAAGGTTACATTAAAACAACGCAACCAAAGAAAACAAACCCATTCCAAAACTTCTTATTGATGGAATATCAATATTATTTGGCTTTGAGAAACCAATATATCTTATTTTGAATTGTCTCCCATAATAGCTGGAGCTGTTTAAAAAATAATGCAGATTTTATTAATAAATATTATTTTTGCCACTAATGCCAAAACAAAATTTAAAAGAGAGGTTTCAATTATTCATTTGGAAAACCTATGGGCATTGTGATCGCAAGTCCTTTATTACTAAACTTGCTGAAAACATAGTGATTCCTTTTGAATCAAATGTTGCTGTAAAACAAAAGAAATAGAAGCAAAATCTTACTCGACTTTCTTGTTACATAAGAGAGTTGAGATGTTTTCTTTGTGTTGTTCCTTAGCTGATAAGCTGTGGTGATATTTGAGATTAGATTGCTTTTTCTTTTTATGAATCTGGTTTCCTAGTTTACTATGATGGTGAGGATATTCTGATTTTGTGTGACAAGTAGGTGTCTTTCGTCCATCTAAAAGAATATGAATAAATGAAATTCCATCATGGCGAAGTTGGTCATTGTTTTGCTACCAAGTTAGACATCTTTCTTTTTTCTCATGTACATTATATATGTTAAAATGGATTTCGTGGGACACTTGTAGTTGCTGTCACTCTTGCCAAGGTTGCGAATGAGGTAAAGGCTGCAGATATCAGAGTTCTATTTGTGAAACCTCTTGTGTATTGGACTCGTTTCTTTATCATTGCCACGGCTTTTTCACGCCCGCAGATCGATGCTATCGGGTAAATGGTTCAGTCGAATAATGAATCTCCAGTTTCTTTGTAGATCCAATAAAGTGTAGGGTATATTGGAATATTCTTGTACCCAATGCAGGACCAGAATCAGAGATATAGCAGAGAAGCAGTTTAAGAGAGTCGCAAGAGGGGACACAAAGCCAAACTCATGGACCTTACTGGACTTCGGTAAAGACTTTTCTTTGTCTCAAGCAATAAGAACTTTTCCTTGCCTTATGAAGTGAGTGGGGAAATGCCGAAATTGCACCAGTTTCAAAGAATTCACAGAAAGAGAGAATGGTTAGAGAATTTTTTACCATCAGGAACTTCTTCCATCTGTTTTGCTCTATTTTCTTTACACTTATTGATTGTGTTATATAGCCCACACTGTGTATGTGTTCCTTTACAATGAATGAAATGGTTTATCGCATATCACATTGATAAAGTAAAGAAATTACTAGGACCGTTTTTTACTTTAACTTCTGCTCCCAACGCAGGTGATGTTGTTGTGCATATTTTTCTCCCTCAACAACGTGAGTTTTACAACCTTGAAGAATTTTACGGCAATGCTACACTCATCGAGTTGCCATTTAATACTGAATCCACCTCCTTTAGAGAGTGAGATACCTATGACGTTTCCAGCTTTGAATTTCTGATACAGAGAGAAAATACTCGAGGATGCAGAAGCACGGTTGCTTGCCATAGGTTGAAACTTTCTTTTTATATCATCTAAAAATATTTTTCCTTTTTTCTAACTTTTTTTTTTCCAGTTACTTAATGCCTTAAGTTGGCTTCCTAAATTTTTGTTCAAACACTGCAGAATAATTGTGAAGAATCTTGTTTGGGCTTATCGCACAAGCTTGGGCTAATCAGATGTAAGTGGCTTTAGGTCAGGTTTCCTTGATGAGTAAATAGGCAAATGGGCCTCCTTTCAATTAGAGAATAGGTCTTGTTTCTTGTAATTTGTGGATGATACAGAAATGAAATGAATTTGGGGGGCCCAGATAAATTTGCAGCTTTTCTTCTTTTTGGAAATCTCATGAAGTGGTTTATGGTAATTTTCCATTTTTTTTTATGAGTATATAATTAATCAAGGCTCCTGTTCCATGAAAAAAGGCAAATGATTTTGCTGTTATTCATTAAAAGAAAAAAGCAGGAAAATTTAAGCATGTTTGGGAGGCTAAAAGTGGGATGACAGTTTAAATGTAAAAAGACAGTCAAACAAACTACATGCGACTCTTCCTTTCTAGACAATGTTTTAAGAAATGCCAGGTCAGATCGGAATCGCGATCTAGGAAAGTGGGGTCATCCTCATTCCCAAAATATATCGGGAACAGGGTGTTTCTTTCTAGGAACCGGGCGGTTCTCTGACAAGAATCGATAGATCTTGTCAAGGAATCGGCTAATACGGCCCCACAATTAATTTATTCTTTTTGTTTCTTTTTCAATTTTTTATTTTGTTCTCAATTTTTTTATTTTTGATTAGCGTATTCTCTCGGTTTGATCGTGGATCGGCGATTCGCCAACCCCACGTTTCTTAGATGGCAGGATGAAGCTGCTAATCCAGGTTGACCCACGTATTTAAACACTGTTTCTGGACTTTGTGATGAAGCTGCTAATCCAGATGTATATTGGGATCCTGCACCATCTCTCTCTCTCTCTATCTGTCTATCTTGCACACACATATAAGAGGAAGCAGGCTCAAAAGTAGTCCTTGGCTGCTCTCCTCTCTCTTTCTCTCTCTCCAGGTTACAGCGGCACACACAAACAAAAATGTTGACCAAAGGTACCATCTCAGGCCACGCTTTCCGAGGGTTGGCCATAACAGCAAAACCAGAGAAAATGCAGGAACTTTCCAATTCGTGTCTGCCTAATTCAGCATTTTGCGTCAATCTTTCCCCCAAAACATTCTGTTTCCTACACCCAAACTGCAAAATCCACCTCTCTGATCACAAAAACTTCTCTGTAATAACTCATCTGCACAAATGAATCTCAAACATGCTTTATTAATCCCAGTTTTTCAGAGAAGCAATGGAGGTGGTGAACCGTTCTTTATCATTTTCCCGCCTCCTTCAGCTCTGTGCATCTGATAAGAATCTTCGAAAAGGCCAAAATATCCATGCCCAAATCATCAAAACTGGTTTCTTATCAGACCCATTTCTCCAAAACTCTCTCATAAACACATATTCAAAGTGTGGAGACATGGCTGATGCTGAGCTCAAATTCGAAGAAATTCAAACCAAGGATGTGGTCTCTTGGAACTGCCTCATCAGCGGCTTTTGTAATCATAGCCATGACTCAAAGGTCTTAAATCTATTCAAAAGAATGACGACTGAGAATATGAAGCCAAACTCGTTTACTTTTTCAGGAGTTATTACTGCAATTTCGGGTTTATCAGCTCTCAGAGAGGGAAGGCAAGTTCATTCTCTCTCCATGAAAACTTCGATCTTGAATGATGTTTATGTAGGGAGCTCTCTAATTAACATGTATTGCAAGTGTGGTTTAGTCTCTGAAGCTCGATTGGTGTTTGAAGAAATGCCTGATAAAAACATGGTTACTTGGGCAGCCATGATTTCTGGTTATGCTCTAGAGAGATGTGGCCATGAAGCCATAGCACTCTTCAAGCTTTTGCAGAAAGAAAATATGGGCCTCAATGAGTTTATATTTACTGGTGTCCTGAGTGCAGCTTCAGCTAAAGAATTCCTTAATTATGGACTTCAAATTCACAGCCAGGCCTTAAAGACTGGTCTTGAATCCCACATCTCTGTCAAGAATGCCATTGTTACAATGTATTCAAAGTGTGAGAGGTTAACTGATGCCCTTCTTGTGTTTGAATCTTCAGAAGAGAAGAACCCCATAACCTGGTCTGCAATGATAACTGGCTATACTCAAAATGGAGATTCTAGTGAGGCTTTGAGGCTGTTTTCCAGCATGAATTTGGCTGGAATCCGGCCAAGTGAGTTCACATTGGTTGCGGTTCTAAACTCGTGTAGTAATCTAATGGCTCTGTGGCCTGGAATACAAGTCCATACCTATCTTTTGAAGATGGGTTTTGGCCATCTACTCTTCATAAGAAGCGCTTTAATCGACATGTATGCAAAATGTGGGAGTATAAAGGATGCGAGAAAAGGTTTTGATCAGTTGCAGGAGGCTGATGTGGTGCTTTGGACCTCGATAATAAATGGGCATGTTCAAAATGGAGAGAACGAGGAAGCTTTGAGCTTGTATGGCCAAATGGAGAGAGAGAATATAAGGCCTAATAGCTTAACAATAGCTAGTGTGCTTAGGGCTTGCTCAAGCCTTGCAGCTCTCGAGCAAGGAAAGCAAATCCATGCCAGAGCAGTTAAGTATGGGTTCGGCCTTACGAACCCAACCGGTAGCGCCCTTTCAACCCTTTATTCAAAGTGTGGATGCCTTGAGGAAGGCAACTTGGCCTTCCAAAGAATCCCTGAGAGAGATGTAGTGTCATGGAATACAATGATTTCTGGTTATTCGCATAATGGGTTTGGGCAGAAAGCCCTTAAACTCTTTGAGGAGATGGAGTCAGAGGGTATCACGCCCGATAGTGTGACATTTGTGAACCTTCTATCAGCTTGTAGCCACATGGGAGTGGTAGAGAGAGGATGGCATTACTTTAAATTGATGAAAGAGAAATACGGTATCGAACCGAGAGTGGATCACTATGCATGCATTGTTGACGTCCTTAGTCGGAAAGGCCTGCTTTTGGAGGCAAGAAACTTCATCGAATCGGTTCCTATTGATCATGGCCTGGCCTTGTGGCGAATTCTCTTGGGAGCTTGTAGAAATCAGAGGAATTTCGAGATTGGGTCTTATGCAGGACAAAGATTAATGGAATTGGGATCAACAGAGTCATCGGCTTATGTGCTCCTTTCGAGCATATATGCGAGTGTTGGAAGGTGGGGTGATGTAGAGAGAGTGAGGAAGCTGATGAGAGAGAGAGGGGTGGCAAAGGAGCCAGGGTGTAGCTGGGTCGAGCTCAAGAATAGGGTTCATGTCTTTGTGGTTGGAGACCAAATGCACCCACAAATAGGAGAGATAAGATTGGAATTGAAAAGACTCAACATGCAGATGGGAGATGAAGGGTACAGGCCTGATACCAACTGGGTTTTCCCTGATATGGAGCGTGGGCTAGCTCAGAGTGGGTGAAGTTCTCGGGAGGTGTTTTCTTCATGTGCAAAAATTATAAGCTATGAGTGTTTGGGTGACATGATTGTTTTGGCTTCACATTGTTCACCGCACTAATGCACCTCCCTCCACAGTCTCTCACAGGACACTTGATTGCTCGGCCCGACTGAGCACAGAAATATCTCTTAAGCGTTTCTAAAATAACCAGCTTTGTGGAATCCAGTGTTTCAAGACTTACCATCGGTGGGGGCGGATTGTTGAACTTTAGATTCGTGGCAGGATTTGTAAGACTGAAATTTCACACATTTAATAATTTAAAATAAATTGATTTTTAGTTCTTCAAAGCCTAGGTCCATTTTCCATATGGACCCAAATACAGACTCGAATACTATTCGGGTCCAAGATTTAGATTCAAACCTGACCCCCCAGACCCTGACATAGGTTGGTTCTACTGGTCGGTTCTCGGATCTGTGCCTCCCAATTGCCGAAAGCAAGGTCGGTCCTCCGATTCCGTCTGGATCCATAATTTTGATTTTTCGTTAGCATCTTTTTTTAACACGGTTCTATTTGCAATGAGTTAAATGCAACTATTATGCAAAACCGAATTTGGAAAATTCCCTCCTGTTCTACTGCAAGAGAACACCATACACTTGCTCATTCAAGTAGAAAACCTAAGCTACTTTGTCAATCTAAAATTTTGAAATCCACTCTATGATTTACAGAAAAAATCTTTGAATTTTTCGAAATAGAACATTCAAACTTTGTCTGGTCTCCATTTCCATTGATTTTCTAGGAACAAAGAAAACCTGAGCCCACTTTTTTTTCCCCTTTATTTCTCTTTCTAGGGAGATTTATTTATCAAAACACCAAAAAGAGATAGATATACTATTTAACAATTCACATTTATTGATTTAATTTCAAAATACCAATAAAAATCAAATTAATCATTGTAAAATATTAAATAATGCATCTCCCATGGGTATTTTGATAAATTTCCGTTTTTAAAAGTTGATCACTAGATTGACAAAGTTGCATCTCGAAAATTTGACCATCCAATGAACACTACACACATGCGACTTGTATAAGAGGGAGCGCCGGCAACAATCTCTTGTATATAGGAATGCTTTTAGGTGCATTTTTATTTAAGATTGAGAAACCATTGAATTTTGAGGCAAAGAGGTCACAATCACTTTTAGCCATTAAATATGAAATTCAATAGATGAAAGCATTCAAAAAAATTTATATTGGATTTTATGCCTGACATTTCCCTTTTCACCTAAATTGTAAATCTAACTATTGATTTTAACCTCCCTATATGAAAAGTAAACAATCTCATTGAATACATTTTATTTTTATTTTCTAATCCTCCATTGTGGCTTAAATTTACGGATGCTAAATCCAGACACATTAAATGTACAAATGGTTAGCATGACCATCTCAGACTCATATGATCGAGCAATCCACAAAAGTTGGAATTTTTATTCACACAAAATTCTCGAGAATATTTCATGTTTCACACATGTTCCACTTTTTTGAGCATGTAGGATTTTAATTTTACTTTTATTTTTTATAAATCAAATTAAGCTCAATATTGGGGGTCTATACTTTCACTATCATGCACGTGTAAAAATAAATAAAAGAATAATGTTTAAAAAACAAAAAAAGTGATCTAACTCTAAATTTTTTATAGATATTTTGGTCATTTGTTTTTAGTTATTTTCTTAATGACAAGAAATATAAACACCAAATTTGAGCCCAACCCAATGCATTAAAAAAATGTGCAATTTATATAGAGCCTAAGCACTAAATAATCAAATTAGAGCCTACCTTCAAATAGAGTTGAGAAAATTTGTTTCAATATAAGAAATCTTTGTAATACTGATAACCTTAAAATATATTTTCATATTTATTTATAAATTTTAAAGCTTAAAAAATAGTGTAGATCGACAGATCTATGAAAATCTTGAAAATTGACAATTCAAAAATACATTCCAAAATACACTATTTTCAAAGCTAGAATATCCATTTTTTTTCTCATATCCATGCATCTTGATGTCAAGTTGAGCAATTTGAGCATATTTCGGCATCCAAACCTCTACTAGTAAACATTTTGAGGTAGACTCTAATTGATTGTTTAGAGCCTCAAACTCTATGTAAACTTTTCCTTTAAAAAATAGGTGTGATTTCCATAAAGTTGCATTCTTAAACAATCAAAGTAACACGCACTAGCAAACTTCTGTCAATTTTCATGTTCAAAATTTTTACCATCGCATGAGAAGCTATTTTCATATATAATTATACAACTCCAAACCCCAAAAACGGTTCAAATCAAGCAAACCAATAAATACATAAAAATCTTGAGAACAGACCGTCCAAAATAATGTGTTGCAAAATGTACCATTTTTTAAACTTGAAATATTCTTTTTTTCTCTAAATTCATTATTGAGAAGATCAATTAAGATAGTATTCGAATGTCAAAATAGCCATTTCCAAAGGACACCTTACGTATGAGGTATAAGGTGTCAACCTAATGTAAACCTAACATAAAATTTTAAAACAAAAAATTAAATATGCTTTAAATTTCAAAAAAATATAGAATATTTATATTAAATCCATGAGACAAAACAGTCACCATATTCCCATCAAAACATTGAGGGCAACAAGGAAAAATTAGCAATCCGTTTCTAAATCATATTAAAAGGCCATAACTCAAACCATCATTAGCAGTACGCTAATTAAGCTCAAGAACCTTTTCTCGAACTGGTATTGTTCAGACATACTAGTTTCCCAAACAACAAAAGCGTTTATGTTAATCCTCCCAAACAACAAAAGCGTTCATGTTAGGCCACGTTTATGTTAGGCCACGACCTCATCTAAGGTTCCGATAATCTATACAATTTATTTTGTTTTCGTTGATTGTATATTGTTAAGACCATTCATTTTTTGTATAAAGTCGCAATTAATCCAAGCGGTTGTATGTGAATTTAACATTGAAACGCATCACGATTATCATTTTAATTAAAACTTTATACCTACTGAGTAACATATACAACCCAATTTCAAATTTAATGATCAATAATGATTATGCCTTATTATCATAAGTAAATAATCCACCGCATACATTTCCTTAATTGTATGCCATAGATTTGACAATATCACAAAACAAGTTTCTTTAACACAGGCCATGTATAAACTGCATCAAAAAACAACACCCAGAGCTATGTTCGTTTAAGGTTTAGAGCAGCTACTCAGTCTAAAATGTTCAAATATCTTTGAGATGGATTCCAAACCCAAGTCAAATCGATGAATTTATCTTTCATATCCCTCTAATTATTTTTTAAAAAAAAATATTTAAATCTTTGAAAACTTACAAATAAATCTATTTTGAAACCTGGTTTAGACCAAAAATGCCCCCACCACAGGTAGAGATCACGGCTACAGACCTACCGAGTCTGTGAAAATGTAAACACAAATTTCGCGCTTCGGGGCCGAAATTGGTGCTTGGACTGTAGGCAGCATCCAACGCGCTTTGTAGATTTATTTGTAAATTATTTCTACCGAACCCTTTCTAAATAGCATTGTGTCCTATGAGACCATTTATTATTCGTACCTGGAGGGTCACAATTTGATGGGAAAACCATTAGATAGAAATGTGTCACATCATTCCAAAATTTTCTGACTTTGCACTCAGTCAACAACACATCATTATCCAGAATCCAGTCATTAATGATTGTAACCCTTTAGTTTCAAAAATAAATGATATCATTGTATATATATATTTTTTAAAACTATCGAATATCCAAAACATAAATTTTAGAAAAAGGAGAGAATTTGCTTGCAAACGACTCTAGAAAGAGGATATAAAACAAACCTAATATTAGTTACCACAAGGACCCCAATAAAACATCAAAAAAAAATGCACTTCTGAGTCAAATGAAAAATTATCCTGCAGTACTCGGATGGACAAACCAGGTAAATTGAAGGGGGGGGTAAATTTTAAATCAAGAGAATAGGTTCCTAGCATAAAAAAGGTCTAGAACAGTATGCTTCAAAAATGGCTGCAGAGCTATGCTCCAACTGCAAATCCAAACAACAAAAGAAACCATCCATTTTTCTTTGGTTGGTGATCACTTGAGAGGAATAAACCTGGATGAGTGGGTAGCACCAATACCGGGCCTTCCGTGCTTCACAGGCTTGTATGAGATAGAGAACTCGGCCAAGTAATGCCCAATCATCTCAGGCTGCAACACAGGAACAAGAAAATGGCAACAGTCAAAAACAATAAGAAAGAAAGGAACTGCAGTATACCGATTCTACTATGGTTTGATGAATATTAAAGTATCAGTAGAATGCGTTTGTGCGTGTGTGATAGAGAGAGAGAGAGAGATGAGAGGAAACACTAGGCCTGGTTCAGCTTCGTTCGACGAGTGGTAAAGATATCATTGAGCATTAGAGAAAGAGATGAACTTAAAAGGAAACTTGGGGACCGGTTTAACTTTATTTCAGGGAAATTTATCAAAACACCCTAGAGATGCAGCATTCATCATTATATAGTTCTGAGACAATTCCAACTCATGATCCAAACTCTTTCTATGCGTATTTTGAAATTAAATCAAATAATATGGGTACAATGACGAATAATTCATCTCAAATGGGGATTTGAATAAAATTCCCTTTGTTTAATGAGTGAAAAAGATATCTTTAAAATTAGACAGAGATGAACTGGAAAGGAATTCTTGGGACTGGTTCAACTTAATATGATGAGTGATAAAGATATCTGTACGATATCTGTAACATCAAAGAAAGAGCGAGAAAACCAGACCATTAAAGAGATAGAGAGATTAACTTGAAAGGAAACTATGGCACTAGCATATCTAATGTGCCCAATAGATGGAATAAAGCTCATTATACCTTGATCTCGACCTGGTTGAAGGTTTTCCCATTATAGACTCCAATTATGCTACCAATCATCTCAGGTACAATGATCATGTTACGAAGGTGAGTCCTCACAGGCTCGGGCTTCTCACCAGGGGGTGCCTCACGCTTCTACATTCACCATAATAAAAGCAAATCATAACCAATGAAGTTTAAAGGGACTAGAAGTTTAAAGGGACGATATCTTCTGCCACTGAGATCCACACATCCTTAAATGGGACTGTATACAATAAGACTGCTTTCGGTACAAGGTCAAAATCACCCGAAGGCCATCGCCATCAGATGTGAAATCAAGTGGATGGGCAGTGTTGTTTTTCCATATAGAACTCTGAGAAAATTTCTCGGTGCAGTAAGCACAGATGATGGCACATCCCCAAGTCACCAGTCACCACCAGATTCGGGATCTGACGGTAGGGGTGATTGCCCTTCTTGTACCAAACATACATTCTTCTTGTATTCTATTCCCTTCATTTAATATCTTGAAAACATGGGAAGTTAGGCACCACATATGAACCAGAATTTCCAAGGAAGCAACACAAAGAATGGCATTTTAAAGGAAGCCAATAAACCGGCTTCACAAGTCCAACATATTACCGCAAACACAACTTTAAAATACCATATCCTCTTTTTTTTAAACACACACATTGAAATAGCATATCAAAGTTGAATTTATGTCAATCCATCAATAATGCATTCCATACAACATCGCATTTCTCATGATCTCATCATTTGGTTTTCTGAAAAAATAAAACCAAGGTTTTTTTTTTTTTTGAGAATAGGTGAAAAATAAAACCAAGGTTATGCTTGACATTGATTCTTTCTTTTCTTTATTTTTTGGGGGGGTTCTTTAGGTCCCTTATTAGGTAGGTCAGCTGGGTTTACATGAGGCTTTCAAAATCTAGATCCCTCTCCTGCAAGCCAGGTTCAATGCTTGATGTCAATGATAATTCTTTAAAAAACTTAATTAAAAAGGGTAAAAGAAATGGAGAAACCTTGGAAAACTAATGAGCAGTGATCAATTCAGCGATGGTGGCTAAAAAACAAAAGACCAAGCTTGTGTACAAACATTTGACACCCTAATGCATTTCACCTAAACCATCATGTGCTGCTTGTATTGTCATGGCAAACCATGCGCTGCAAGCAATAACATGCCATCGATTTAAATTTGGGTGCAGTTTGTATAGAGACTAGGCTCTAAACAATCAAATTAGAGCCTACATTCAAATAGTATCGAGAAATGTGGTTTCAATACTGGAAATCTTTGTGATAGCCTTAAAATATATTTTCATATTTATTTATAAAGTTTAAAGCTTAAAAAATAGTGCAAATCGACAAATCTATGAAAACTTGCAAATCTTGAAAATTAACGATCCAAAAATGCGTTACAAAATACACTATTTCCATAACTTGAAATCCATTTTTTTCTCATGCCCATACATCTTGATGTTGAGATGATCAATATGAGGATATTTGGGCATTAAAAAAACCTCTTCCAGTGAAATTTTTGTGGTAGGCTCCAATTTGATTGTTTAGAGCCTCAGCTCTATATAAACTTTTCCCTTTAAATTTTTCTCCCATAAAATCTATTTCAGCTCTTGTGACAGCAAACAATTGTGAACTATCAAGCTTCCTTTTCCAGTTTCACGCAATATTGACACTAAACAGCCCATAGAAATACGGTACATTAGTTGCAATCAACCTTCGCACGATTGCAAGAAATATCTCCCGTTGAGGCCTTAAAACTGTAGAGTTCTCCCTTTTAAACTAAAAACTAGTGCCAACTCCAGAACCAAGACCATTGGAGCAAGCCAACACTTGTCAGCTCCCAATATTTTATTTATCTATTTTTCAGGAGTTGGCTGAATTTTTGACACTCAGACAATTCCAAATTTCCTGACTCAGGCTGCAGACCCTAGCCAATCTTAACAGAAGTACTTGTTCTGAACCAGTGGTTTTAACCATATTAATCAACCAAGACAGACACGCCTTTCTAATGCTAAGTGATATGATCCATGTTCTTCCAATTACTGCAGCTTGATCTGAAACTTGCTCAAAATTTCTGGAATAAGAGTACAGGATCCTGCCATCCTATGTTATAAGTATCTAATAACATATTGCCTCAATTACTTCCATCTTTGACATATTGTACTCTTTTACCAATGCCTTTTTAACAATCTCTTCACAGTATTTACAACTCATCTACATTACAAAAACTGAAATAAAAAAATAAGTATCATAGTATTTGTCATTTACTTCTTTTTTTGAAAGGTACCGATATACTCTCGTCCTATTTCTCCATATCAAATGATCAACTGACGATGCTCAAGGCACAAATTCTAATCATACATGATGAATTTCTTCAACCAAAAAACCTTTCCTGTGAGCACAAATTCTAATCGTACATTATGAATTTCTTCAACCAAAAAACCTTTCCTGGTCCTCCAAGAAAGTGCTCATCTACTGCCACATGAGAGTTTCCAAGCTCTCACTCCTAAACCCAAAAAAATCACATCCATTGTCATCTTCCTAAAATCTCAGGTAGCAATCAGGTTTACTTCTCTTATAGATTTTGCTCACAACAAAATAATCACATGACTGTCCAACAATTTATCAACTATTAGAAAACTTTGCCCTAACAACTGTGACCGTACACACAATCAACAACTAATAGGAAAACAGGAAATTTATCAAATCACATGTAGCAGCGAAATATTTTAACATCTAACTTGATTCTTTTCATCGGATACAAACAATCCATCTTTCTTTCTTTTTTTAAATTTCAAGTAGCCATGGGGTCATAAATATAGTTCATCTTCAACTCTTGAGTGTGATTTTATAGATTTCCTAGAACAAATTTTTAATATCATTACACATATCTCTCTAAGCATACTAATCGATGAGAATATGGGTGCTAAAATCTCCAAAAAATCTGAGATACAATAACCATAAATTACACAATTTATTCAGTGATTTGGAGGGAAAAAAAACAGGTTCTAAAAGTTCACATTACCTCTGCATACAATAACAACCAACAGAAGTACAGATCGGAACACTTAGATCCACCCATGAGCACCACATAGACTGGATTTCCACTATCACATTTTTCGTGATAAGCTTATCTATCTAGGAAGACAATTCATTTATAGAGGAAGTTGAGAGTAAATTGCAGAAACATAAATTATCGTGACAAAGCATATTTGATCCAAGTTTCGAAAGACATGAAAAGAGCAAAGCATACAACTCTTAAGCTTGAAAAAATAGCACAACGCAAACTAATTTGGGAAAAAACAGATTGAAGGAACATCCAACTATAACAAATCCGTCCCTAATTGGTAATCAAATAACAATAGCCACAGAATTATTAGATCGCAACAGACATACACACACACATGAACATAAGTTTCAGAGCACAAATTCAAAAATTTATCATATAAAAAAAACAATAGCTACAGAACGATTAGATCGTAAACATGAACATAGAGTTTCAGAGCACAAATTTCAAAAACTATCACATAAAAAACTCACCGCCTTGCGAAGCTTCTTAATCAATGCCATAGGTTTTCTGGTAAGCCCACGGCGGAACCTGCAGTTAAAGAAAATAATGTCAACAGAAAACAAATAATAAACCCAACCCTGTTAATAAGAATTAATGAGAGAGGACATATAGAGAGAGGGAGACCTTCTTCGGGCACGAGCATGGAAAAGCTGGACCAAATCATCAGTGTTCATATCAAGTAGCTGGTCAAGATCAACACCTCTGAAGGAGAACTTCTTGAATGTTCTCCTCTTTGGCTGTCCAGTAGCAATATCTGTTTCGCCATCCGCCTGGGCCAAAAAAATGAGTAAATTCCATGGAAAATTCACATGAGATTTAAGGAGAAAACAAGGCATAAATACAAAAGGAAAATTGTAAAACTTCACATTATTTCAGATGACATCTACTAGAAACAATGAATATATACAAAAGGTTGGCTGCGCTGATAAACAAATATAACATTCTGACAAATTTATATTAAAATGAAATAAATAAAAAATATATAAGAGATATTGTTGAAACAGACAAATCAATTTGTTCATAAAACTGCCAAAATCCTGTATCATTGCTTATTATGTTTTTTGAAGTTCAATAAAGAGCATCTAGGATAGGATTCAACTAAAATGTCAATGAAAAAAACAAAATTGAAAAAAAAAAATGGATTTAAGGATAATAAGAAGCACCAAAATAAGTAAAACAAATGGAGCTATCTAATAAACAACCCTAGACTCTCTTTATCTCTATATACAAAATCATAAACGATCCCATATTAGTAGATTCATAAAAAAAAGAAACGTTAAGGATCAATTACTACCAAATGGCCCTAACCAGATCAACTCAACTCATGTTAAATTCAGATCAAACAAACAAAAGACATTCTAAGAAACATCACGGGGCAAATAACACACAGATAAAGCTAGCAAAAACGAAAGGGAGAGAAGTGAATTTCTATACAAGTCAGAATAATCCATTCGATATATAAGAGAGAGAGATTGCAGTGAGAGTTTTGCAGCCTGAAAGTTAAAAAATAGGGTTTAGAAGTGTGCCATAGCTAAGTGTGACCACTGTAGAGAGGAGATTGCCCTCGGCACGTAAGAAGAAACTTAGAGAGAGACTTAAAGAGAGAGAAGATTACCATTGTCGCTGTGCTGCAATAAGAGAGTTGTGGACTCGGCGGATGAGAAAGCCGGGGAGAAGGGGAAAGTGATGAGATTGGGTTTGCCTACGACGGATTTAGGGTTTCGAATGTGAAGAAGGATCCTTTTATATAGGTAAAAATAAAAGAATTTGGTGAGTCGGCTGACTCACTTATTCTAGTGCGGTCTCCCCCCCAAGTGTATGTCACAGGTATATTTTCGATCCAAAATTTTAAGGTTTGATAATTGTGACCATGATCTAAATTTGGTAATTTTCTTATAGAAATATTGTTTTCTTAATTTCTTTTTCCACTGTCTGTTTTAACTTTTAGTGGATATAGCAATTTTTTGACGTTCATCTTAAATATGGACGTTTGTTAGACAAGGGAACGCAAGGTAATTAGGTGAGTCGGCTGATCCACCAAAACCGTGTCTATTAATTAATGTAAATATCAGACTTGACAATGTCTCCTTTACATTGCATATGTTCATGCTGCTGGTTATTGGAGCATGTGATAGAACCATGAGGTTATCACCGTTCCATCAAGTTTTGGACGGTTATTAGTCACTACCATGCAGCTGATGCACAACCCTCCAGGACCTCCATCACCAGCCCATGAAAACATCTATAATTTTGTGGAATATACATGGAAATATTATTTAATTCAAATGTGAAATCAAGCGGCAAAAAGTGTATCATAAAATTGAATTTTGATGGCTAGTAGAAAGGTTTAAAAAGTGGGAAAATTTTATGTAGACTCTAAACAATCAGTGCCCGCCTCATAAATTTCATTAGAAGATGTTGTTTTGATGCTTTAATATCTTCAAATTTATCATTTCAACATCAAGATGCATGGACATGAGAAAAAAAAATGGATCTCAAGTTTTGAAATAGTGCATCTTGTAACTCATATTTGGATCGTCAATTTTCAAGATTTTAAAGTTTTCATAGATCTACTCTATGTACACTATTTTTTGAGCTTTTAAATTTTATAATTAAAGATGAAAATATATTTTAAGGCCATCATAAAGATTTTCGGCATTAAAACCACATTTCTCGACACTATTTCATGGTGCGCTTTACTTTGATCGGACAGAACAATTGCCCCATTGATTAGAGTTGAAAAAAAAAAAACTATAATTTTGTGGAATATACATGGAACATAGATCAACTCGAACCATAACCAATACGTAAAAGTCCAAGTTTCTCACAATCGAAGATAACCACTACGCCCATGAATCACATTAATAATATTTTTTATTAAGAAAATATTGTTCTTTCTTTGTTGCTAAAAATATTGTAAGAGGATGCTATCCATTTGCCCCCATGGGCAAAACTTACATGAGAATTATCTTTTAAATCCGGAATTTTGTTGAGGATATGATTCCTGGCAACCAACTTTCAAAGAAAAAACAATTAATTCTCATTCTCCATGTGCCTAAACATGGCATCCCAAAGTGGCACTAGGACCATCCAATTTTTGGAGGGAATGATCCACAAATATTCTGGAACTTAAGATCTGTTTTTAAAAATAATAATAATAATCATGCAGTTATATTTAAATGGATCTCAAAATTTCAAATGAAAAGAGCCTCCGAAATAAGTTTTTTACCCTAGGGAGTAAATATATATTATGCTCCAAAAGGATTATAGTAAATATATATTATGCTCCAAAAGGATTTCTTTAACTTGGCTGAGCTTGACCCAAAGCCGTATCATGCACCAAACCAAGAAAGGAGGTTAAAATTGTTTATCCTCCTTGCTCACCCAAAAGTTGACTCAGACTAATGAACAATGATAAATCAAAGATAAATATCCTTATAAATTTATGTTCAAAATGTTTGTTTATTTTACAGTTTCCTCGAACATTTTAATTTTTTATCTTTTTTTATCCTCAAATTACTCAGTTTGGACGCTAGAGCAGAGGTATTTCTTTTGAAAGTGGGACAAAGGCATGAACAGAGCCAGAACTACTCCATTGTGTTTTTTATAAATGGCCAATTTAAATATCCAACGTCTAAACCCATCTTCAATTTAAATAATCGAGGGGATGTGGAGATCCAATGTGGAACCTGCATACTTTATATTGACAGATATATTTGAGAACTCAATATTTGAATCTGTCTCCCACTTAAAGCGGATTCAAATACCAATGTCCAAACTCATGCACTTACAAAAAGTAAACAAGAAAAGAGGTGGTACGAATATCCATCTCTCACTATTGCAATGCCACAAACCAAAAGATCATCAATAGGGGTGGCAATGGGCCAAGTGGCCCAGCCGAGCCGGCCCTAAAATCCTAGGGCCTGGGCCTAGCCAAGATAGGCCCGGGCTGGTTGGGCTCAGTCCAGTCCTTATTATTTTTATCTCTTTTGCATTGTTTTCTTTTAATCTTATTTCGTGCAGCATTGGCCAGCGCTAATAGGTCCAGGGCCAGCCCTCATAGGAATAGGGTTGGGCTAGGGCGAGGGCCAGCCCGGCCTAGGTCTGGCCCATTGCTACCCCTAATGATCAAATGCTCATACAGTATTTCTTCAATACACCACAGGGAACCACCATCACAACCTATAGCATGTCACGCCTCAGTCCACAGGGACTTACCCCCTTGTTAAGTTAAATAGAACATTCAAGTGTTCGTTTAGGAGGTTAATCTCTTGACTGTGTGCGTGCCTATTGAAGGAAGAATGAGTGAGACACAACTCAAAACGAATAGGCACGGAACAAACAAGTCGCACATGTGAGCCTCACGAGCGCTTGCTGTGCCACTTGGAAAAAAAGCTTGTTCTTGGTGTCGTCATCACTTCAACCTTCAACGATGAGACTCTTACCGCACAGCGTTTTAGCATTGCTCGATATCATTTCCCAAAAAATGAAAAACCCGAAGTCATATAGCTCCCTGGCACCTCACTCAACTGCATGACTTTCTTTATATTAGTATGTTCACCTCTGATGCTCACCTTACTCGGCACACGTGTTCAATATTGATGGCTCTTCTCTACTCAAGTCCACCCGAGACCCATTCGACAACCTAACAGCAGAAGAGAAAACCTTACAGGCAGAAACAACATAGGACCTCTCCGCCTCACAAAATTGAGAATAGTTTTCGATCTACAAGTCACACAAGAAAGCTACAAAGCCAATACATATTCAAGCACCTTGTGTCCGAATCTGTGGAAATGATATATGGATAAATACAGAGAAATGGGAAGTAAAATGTAAAATTGACTGTCCTTTTGTTAAAACAAATATTACGAGGGGATTTATCTCTAATTTTCAACGGGAAAGAAGTTGCTTATCTTCTTCCAAACCCAAATATTTCCTCTCAACAACCATCTAATCTCCATTCTAAAAAGATATTAAAATGGCCCGTCTTCCTTCAAAACCCAAAATATAGCAGGGAAAGAATATTAATCATTTATGCAGCTAATAAATAATTCATGCATGTTGCAAACCTATGTCCAAGTTCAAATCCGCCACCCACCCAAAACCTGACAAAGAGGTAATGCCTATGGCTCAATTTGAAGGTGTTTTTTTGCTACTGCATTGAAGTTTTGGGGTTGAATAACACAAAGTTTGTGTTTGACTTGAAGAGTATGGATTTACTAAAGAGTGGACAAAATAGGGAATTTACCAAAATAAATACCAAGGAAACAATAAAGAGAACTAGGATAGTATTGGGCAAGCTTTTTGTATTTCCTCTACCATATAAAATTTATATATTTCCCCCTATCCAATCATTAATGGATGGCTGAGATGACTCCAATCACAATGTCACACTTATACACTATTTTTTAAAAAATTTATTTTCTATAAAACAAAATTTTGATAGTCCACTCCTCTCTTAAACTCGCACATGTGAAAAAAACCCCAATAAAATAAAATAACCAAAATGTTGTTAAAAGTTTCAGAGATATTTTGGTCAATGTATTTTATCCAAAAAATATGATATTATATATAGGTGCAGCCCATTGAGATGATTGTACATACCAAATTTCATACTCATATAATTTGCAGAAAAATAAAATACCATGAGACGTCGGATCTATATCAAACAGTCAGTGGCTCACTAGATCTGAATTGGATGACTGGTTGGGGGAACATATATCTTGTGTATAGTAGAGGAAGTATAGAAACCTTTCCCGATAGTATTTGGTATGGGCACAATGAGGCCACACTTCGAAACATTAAATAACACCATAAAATATTGTTTTAGCACTGAAAAAACTGTAAATTGATCATATCGACCCCAATAGTCATATATTTAAAAATGTGAAGGGATTTCAAACCCTACGAACAGTTTTTTAGTAACACATGTTCTGGACCACTTGAAAGTGTGAATAGATCCTCCGCATCTCCATCTTTCTCGGAGCCTCATTCAAGAGCAAAAATAGATTTTCAATCCATCACAGGGCTTCCAACACCGAACCTGCACTTTCAAGAGGACATTTAGTTGCGCCTATACCAAAATATCGTGAAGCCGTAACCCTAGAACCCAACAGAATTTGACAGTAGTTAATCTCCTTGATAGACCTGCTCAACCAATTTCACATTCCAAAAGACAAAAGTGGCCACAAACAACAAAAAGTTGGAGAAAGTTATGCAAAAATAGTGTCTTTTGCCACGCCATGTCCCTCTTCGAATGAGTTAAATGGCCAAAAACTATTCCGAAACATGAATCGGCCAAGGTACCCGAGTCGGAGTAACTTACCCCAGTCTAGCCCCAATTAAAAAAATACAAATAATGATAAAATATATATTATGCAATATGTTCGGTTTATGTGGATTTTAAAGTCCTTATGAGTGCGTAATGAAAAACATTTATTATAGTGAAATATAAACTTAGTGGGAGTGTAGTCCCTCGAGGACCGTACTAAGCAAATGATGTTTGCTGATACTGGACTGTACTTGACGATCTAGGCCAATCAGTTAGAAAACTCAAGGTACCTGGGCATAAAAAATAAACTGGTAAGGATTTTTGGGTTAGCCCTTGAGAGGTTAG